CCCCAGTAGGCAATTTCCTCTCACTTCCTGTCTCAATGATAGTCACCAGGGCAGGCAGGGAGAGGAAATGTTTCCACTGCTATTGGCCTCTTAAGGCAAAGTGGTGTGGTTTAAGAACAGAAAGCAATTGCAAAAGCTCATTCAGTAAACAGCATTTTATGCATTTCAACCTCACTTGGCCCTAGTCATAGTAGTGTCTAAAGCCAACTGAGGATGAAACTTGTAAGCTGGTGACAGGAATGGGCTTGCCAATGGTGGTGGGACTCACCTGCCTTGTGGGCTGCAGTACCAGGGCTAGCCAGCGGGTGCTCTCAGCAACCAGAAGCTCACTCCTGCAATCAGCCATCACCTGTTTCCCTGTGTCAGTCCACACACTTCTGGTCATACCCAGATTCCTGACAGCTGGTTACTGCCTATAAGGCAAGATGATGTAAAATAAAAGCAGTATCAGAGGAGATTGTGTGTGCTGGCATTCTTGTCCTTGCACCATCCTGAGAAAGTGGAGTTTGTGTGTGCAACACAAGGGAGAAATACAAAGGTGAAAGTGGAGCTGGAGCAGTATATTCCAGAAATGCTCATTCACATGGGCAGCTGGAGAAGGAGGCAAAACTAATGCACACTCATACATGTGTGTGAACAGCCATGGCCAGCAGACAACCACTAGAAGTGTGTTGTGGTATGTACCTTTAAAGAGGAAAGGGTTGCCTTTGGGTGAGCCTGCTCTTTCCTTTTGCATTGGTATAGATGTTTAGACAGTTTAAAGTTTAAGATAACATTAATTTATCACACTGCTTTACATGGCTACATATTTATAGCAAACTTTAGCACCCTATTGTTACCAAACCAAGTTTTTTTTAAAGAAAATTTAGCTAAAAAAATGTAGGGGCATACAACAGTGTGCAGAAGGTTATTTCAGATTTTTCACAGACACACATAGACCATACAAATACAAAGGATATTAAAAAAATGTATTCATTACATTACTGTCACATACCCGGAGGAGATAAAGCTGGGGAGGGGGCTTCTCTTGCACCTACTGTCCAACACCTGGTTATCTGGTTGTGGACCACCAGATAGGAACCAGAGACCCATGCACAGTGACACTTGATCAGCAGACAGGAGCAAATCCAGGACACAAGCCAAAAGGTCATCAACAGCAGGGCAGCAAGGTACAAGACATTAGAGGCAGAGGCAAGATAAAGGCCAGGGTCAGTTCACAGCTGAGCAGCAAGGTACAGAAACGTAAGGCAGAAGCGGAGTCACAACAGGTAGACGGGAATCCAAGGACAGGTCAGAGGCAAGTCGGGTAGTGGATGGGAAGGCAAACGTAGCAGGTCAGGGCACAGGTAAAGTAGGAACCAGCTGAAGAACACTCAGCAATCTGTTCATGTCACAATCTAGCTTAAATAGGCTGTTTGGCGGCAATGCCAGTGCCAAGAGTGCACATGTGTGCGCTGCTTAGTGTGAACACTGATACCTTTGCACGTGCATGCTAATATACATCTTGCAGAGAGCCTTTGCTCAGAATTATACACATGAACATGCAACAGTCTTCTTGTTCCGATACATACTGGGCTTTTCTTACAATTACTCTTTTGTACACAAAATATAAAGGCTAACAATATCATAATGGGGACCTTTATTTAAATAGTCAACTAAGCAACTGTAAGCTGTTGAGACAATGAACACTTTAGTCAGGACTATGTAATGTGCAGCATAGCTAACAAAGTGCAGCAGTCAGGACTATACACTGTACAGCACAGCTTACAGTGTATAGCAAAATGTGGTACCCTCTTATATTGGGTAGTATTTTAATCTGAAATTGATGTGAGTCCACAGTAAGGTTGTATTTTAAACATATAGGAGCTAACACGTTTTGGGGCTGTATATCATCCCCTTTATCAGGGCTTGTGGAAATATGAGGTCTGTTTGTGCAAACTTGGGCAATGATTTATATGCTGAATATGGTATGTTGTCAAAAAGAACAGCTGGTTTGAGTGCCAACCTCAAATATTTTCTTCATACACAGAGGTTTTTGTGGTAGGTGCTCGGTGCATGGAAGCTATCCACATACCATGCAGATGCCCCACAGGGACACCGGTAGTACAATGTTGATAAAATACATTTTGAGTATGAAAGTGTCACTTATCATTATCTTAAATTCCGGTACCATCAATCTACTACGCTAAGCTCTTATATTGGATGTGATTGGCACAATACCCCCTTGAACTGGTGGTCAATGGAGAATCACCCTTATGTTGGTTTAAACTTGGGAGTGCCACCTTACATTGGTGGATGGTGGAGAAGTGTCCCCCTATGTTGGTGCTCAGTGAAGAGGCTTTGCCTTGTGTTGCATGTTTCTTGCTGCGCCCAGTTCAAGCCTTATGTTGGTCAATGATGAAGCACCCCTTACATTGGTGGTCAGTGGTGCCCTACCCCCTTACATTCTTGGCTAGTGGCAACATGCCTCTTTACATTGGTGGTCAGTGGGGAAGGAAGCCCCTTATGTTGATGGTCAATGGGAGAAGTATGATCTTGCACTGGGGATGTGTCCCTTTCTTTTAATAGTCAGTGTTAATGATCTCCCATACCTTGGTGGTCAGCAGTGAAGTATCCCTTATATTGGTGATCCATGAAGAAGCTTCCTCTTTTTTTGCTGGTGAGCGCAGTATTAGCCACTGTGTCCCTTGTACAGTTGGAAGTGAATGTAAGCTTGCCATCAATCAGCTTGCATTAACCTCATGCAACTATGCCAATAAGTGTAAAGGAGGCTGATGGGGGCTCCCTCATCTGCTATCCCTGCATACAAACACATCAACCCACAAAAAGTACCAACAAATATTTCACAAAAGAAATAAATATTTCCAATCCAGCTTGCAGGCCAACAAGCAGAACAAAGCACAAAAAAGTTGAGATTACAATTACAAGCAGTCATTTAAACTTTTTCAAATGCTGTAACATGTTGACATTTATTTCTTGGCTAGAGTGTCTTTGAAGAGCATAACTCTATTTTTCTGCTTTTCTGACAAATCAGACATTAAAAGTAGGACAGTGAAATCTTTCACTAGGCCATTGGTAATTGCATCACTAAGGCTATTACCACAAGAGGCACAACAGGAAGGAAACTTGCCTTGTACCAAATTGCCAGGGCTTACAATTAAACTGCTTAATCACTTTGCTTTTTTACTAAGAATACAGTAAGGTTGTAAGTCTTTAGAAAGCTTTGTACACAAAAAATGTAGTCCTCTTGGATTGAACACTGCTTTCTGACAAATTTTGTGTGTACGTTAGAAAACATTTTACACAAAAAATGTAGTCTTCTTGGATTGAACACTACCTTCTGACAATTATTTTGTCTACGTTGGTAGAACTATGGCAATCTATTTATATATTAAAAGGTAATGAAACTCTCCTAGGCTGTCTTTTACCCCTCTACCCCAGTCAAATGACTAGCCTTAAAGTGGAACTAAAGTTTTGGGGGCCCCAGGTGCTCTTGCCATAATGTGCTGGTATTTGCAGTATATTTGAAGATTATGGCACATTTCCATTGGAGAGTGTTCTTCTCCAGCGATACAGTCAACAATCTTTAGGAATGATGTCCTTGAACTGGAGAAATTCCAGAGAAGAAGGGCAATGAAGCTAATAGGGAGGCTGGAGGACGGAGGACCTTAGTTATGGGAAACAACTACAAACATTAACCCCTTCTCGATGACCGTATGCATTTATATGCGACCTCATGGAAGTGGGTCTTTATCCACATATCTGCATTGGTGTACCTCTCTTTGTGCTGAGAGCCCTGGGTCTTGCACTAATGATCATGACCCAGGGCCCCCAGTTCTGGGTCACCTGATCTCTGTGATAGTCTCTGATTGGCTATCACAGTAATCAGTACTGTGAGCCCGCCCCTGTGTTTACATCCTCTTCTGAATGAAGGGAAAGATACATAATAAATATAAACAAACAAAAGTTTGTATACAAAAATTAATAAATAGAGACAAAAATAGCTTTATTTTGGGTTTTTCTTTGTGATAAATTATGGCAATAGTAAGAAATATACAGCTAAATAGAAAAAAAATTATTTTTTACTATTTTGGGCCAGTTTTCCTTTGATTAAAAAAAACAATTCAGAAGATATTCATTATCCTTCACCACCAAAAGAAAGCCCAATTTGCCCAGAAAAAACAAGGTATAGTCCACCTGGATACACAAAGTAATTGTGATGAATTTTTCAGTTCCGCTAATACACATCAAAGTTGCAAAATTGTGTTTAGGCAAAGTGGTTCTAAAGGCTCAAGGTTTATTACCTTCATACATTCCATGCATGAAAGTAAAAAATCTTTTGTGTGTAGCAGCCCCCCCCCCCCCCCAACACTTTCCTGAGCCCCCTCTCGATCCAGCGATGTCCACGAGTGCCACATTTCTCCAGGAACTCTCACTCCTGATTGGCTGGAGCAGCAGTGTGAGGCATTGGCTCCCACTGCTGTCAATCACAGCCGGTGAGCCAATCAGGAGAGGGAGGGGTGGGGCCAAGCCACAGCTCGGTGTGTGAAGGAACTCGAGAAGAGGAGATCCAGGCTGCTCTGTGCAAAACCACTGAACAGAGCAACCTGGATCTATGGGAATGTTTGACCATTCTTCCAGAAGCACATTTGTGAGGTCAGCCCTGATATTGGACGAGAAGGCCTGGCTCGCAGTCTCCGCTCTAATTCATCCCAAAGGTGTTCTGTCAGGTTGAGGTCAGGACTCTGTGCAGGCCAGTCAAGTTCCTCCACCCCAAACTCGCTCATCTGTGTCTTTATGGACCTTGCTTTGTGCACTGGTGTGCAGTCATGTTGGAACAGGAAGGGGCCATCCCCAAACTGTTCCCACAAACTTGGAAGCATGAAATTGTCCAAAATGTCTTGGTATGCTGACACCTTAAGGGTTCCCTTCACTAGAACTAAGGGGCCAAGCCCAACCCCTGAAAAACAACCCCACCATAATCCCTCCTCCACCAAACTTTACACTTGGCACAATGCAGTCAGGCAAGTATCATTCTCATGGCAACCGCCAAACCCAGAGTCCAGTGGCGGTATGCTTTACACCATTGCATTTGATGCTTTGCATTGCACTTGGTGATGTAAGTCCTCCAAAGCTTCCAATACTTCCTCTATGCACTGTTTTGCTAATCTGATGGCCACAAAAAGTTTGGAGGTCTTTAGCTATTGACTCTGCAGACATTTGCGCTTCAGCATGCGCTGACCCCGCTGTCATTTTACATGGCCTTGTACTTCATGGCTGAGTTGCTGTTGCTCCCAGTTGCTTCCACTTTGTTATAATACCACTAACAGTTGACCATGGAATATTTAGTAGCAATGAAATTTCACGGATGGACTTATTGCACAGGAGGCAACCTATCACGGTACCACACTTAAATTCACTAAGCTCCTGAGAGTGACCCATTCTTTCACAAATGTTTGTAGAAGCAGTCTGCATGCCTAGGGGCTTGATTTTATACATCTGTTGCCATGGAAGAAATTGGAACACCTGAATCCAATGATTTTGAGGGGTGTTCCAATACTTTTGGCAATATAGTGTACATGTTTATCAAACTTACCAACTATATAATATCTATGGTGTCAGTGCACATTCTTGTCGCTTTGTCTTCTACTGGTTAGACTACGATGATTCAGCTTTTGTCTATGCTATGACTGTACACTAAACTGAGCATGCACAGCTGTCGGTGTATAGTTTGTAAGAAACTGATAGCAAGTAGGGGAAGAGAATATAAAGTAAAAGAGAAGAGTCTAGTTTGTCATAAAATCTACCTGCTAGCAATTGTTAAAAAAAAAACAACTTTAGTTCCTCTTTACTATCAAACTAACAAGGTCAGATTTCATAACCACACAAGGCACACTGAAACAGGGAGTGGTCTGCCTAAGATTTTGTGCATTGACCCCATACTTTTTAGCAGTTTGAGAATGGGTGGGAAAACCCAGGGTGGATGAACTGTAAGTTCACAGAACACTGTGGTTGTATATATAACCACATTCCACCTACAAAAATTCACTAACTGTAGAGGAGCATCAACAATGAGGACCCCCACCCCTCTTCCCACTTCCTACTAGGATCATTTCTTTTGCGCAGAACATTTTTATGGTATTTCTATTTTCTTTATCCTATACCAGCTTAAAATATTGTGAATGTGTAAATAATAATATGTGAATGTAAAGACGTGTTCTATAGCAGTCCTGTTACACTTTGTTTTAATTTCTCTTTTGTAGTTTGTTTTGTAGAGCACTGCACCCATGGATGATCTGTATGACATCACCTACAAGTCATTCTGATGTTCCAGAGTCCTGTATACAAAGATTCCTGTCAGTTTTGGCAGCTGTCCAACCCCCTGGTGAGTTGGTCATCATTAGGTTGGACCTATATTTGACAAACAGGTTAGTATATGTTTTGGAAGGGTCTTTTTCTTTCCTCCCTTCTAGAAAGAGGGAGTCCATAATTCTCCTTTCCCCTTTTCAGAGGAATTTTTTTTTCCCTCCTCCCTCCTGGTGAATAGGTATTTGTTTGGCAGGCTGTGTGCCTAATTTTTGACCCCATGACTGAGTCTGGGTTTAAAGGTTATCACCCTCTCTGTTTGAGAAGGCTGTTTGCCTGGTCCTTAGGCTCCAGAACTAGGAGCTGGGATTGGATGATCTTAGAGGGTCCTAGAAGGAACCAGGGCCTCTCTTTAAGAAGGCAGGCCTTCTGGGCCTAAGAAGATATATTTAGCTAGAATCATCACTGGAACAGAGTTACCTGAACATTTTGTTTTGTGGGGCTATGTTCACCAGAAGAGGCTTTGTGTGATGCCGCTGAAATTTGAGACTCACCCAGCAACTTCTAGCCAAGGACCTGTAGGAACTGTGTATTCTACCTTCTTTGTCCTTCTGTCCTACATACAAAGTTGAAATAAATTATTGAAAACTGCATTTATGTATGGGCCAACATTTCTTCAAATTAAGTTTGTAAGTGATATACCCTAAGCCTGGGTTCACACTGTATACCGCACAGGGGCGGACTGACAACTCATGGGGCCCCCGGGCAATAGGGGATCATAGGGCTCCTGTGTCCTTGCCCACACCCAAAAAAGCCTATAAAAAAGGTGCCAGGGGCATTTCATGGGGCCCCGTACTGACCCCCCCATACGGGCCCTCGGGCAGTGCCCGAGTGCTCAAATGGTCAGTCCGCTCCTGATACCGCATATGAACTGCACCGCATTCTTGTGCAATTCACATGTAATTCAGTGCAGTGCCATTTGAGCCCATTCATTTTGAATGGGTTCAAATCACCCCTCTTTACATCAAAGACGTGCATGCACTTTTTTTGGAGCCGCAATTGCAACCAGACCACATGGTTGTTTTGCACTGCATTTACGACCTGCGTTTGGGGTGTCGTTAGGTTTGTATTGACACCCGTAGCAGATTGCAAGGGCTGTGCGATTGGAATAGGGTGTGGAAAATGCTCACAGAGCTCTGTGTTGACCGCAACACATTAGTGTGAACCTAGGTTTAGAATAAGGTATTCCTGGGAGGTAGTCCCCATTATAAGCTAAGACCCTTGTTGGTGAGATAAGGCCCTTCTAGGTGGGGGCACTAGAGACTTAAGAATATCAGGATGCTAAATGTTAAAATTCCACTTAGTGGAGTTTCAAGCTCCCCTGTTAACAAGGTGCTGCTTTAATATATTTATAATTTTATTTTTTTTAATGTTGCCATAATGAAAATACAATTTCTAAAAATATATAACATTTATTTTGTTAGTTAGGTTGATGCATATGAAAAAGTGTGTATACTGTATATTCATATGTTTTTCAGGCCCTCCTTAGCCCTTCTATTGATAAAGGAATGCTGTTTATAGCATTCAATAGGTAAAGCTGAATTTACACTTCCTATAAACAGCTCCTACAAAGGTAGCAGAGACAGAGTGTCTGAAAGGAGACTGTTCTGACTCCACTACAAGACCATAAACTTTATCTCCAGAGATGTATACAGCTATGTGACATGGTGTTGAATCTATCTCTTGCATCAGGTCAGACAGTTTAACTCAATGAATAAACTCACATGTTGAGGAAGTCAGATGAGGAAAACCATTTCAATATTCCATTTAATGAAGGATAATTATAGGTAGAAAAACGTTAATGTTGTAAGCCTCATGGAAAGATGCATACAGGTAGACAAGATACAGTGGAATGACTACAGAAAGAGGCAGGGGGGAGGAGTATACACAAGTATGGTGAGAGAAAGAGCTCAGCTTATACAGGAGGAGACAGCTTAAAGACACAGGGCAATGATAAACAAGTGATGGTCACAGAGAAATAATAATAAATCAAATAGTGTAACACAACAGAGACAACCATTGCTGTATTCACTTTCTAGAAACAGTGTTCTCATAGTACATATATTCATTGACTTAAACCCAAAAACCCACAATTATAGTGAAAAATCAAATCCTAAAGAGATTACCCAAAAAAATTATACAAAAAATAAATAAAAAAATAATATAATATAATAATAAAATAAAAAAAACAATAAAATAAAGTCCCAATATATAAAGTGTCCAAATAATGTGTCCAAACAAAGATCAATATCTTGATAGGAAGACGCTTCCTACTCCACTGAAGAAGATGCAAATCAATCACAGGTGCTCTTCAAATACCTCAAAAAACAAAATCTCAACATAGTATATTACCTTTAAATCCCAGAACTAAAGTGCCACACGTGTACCATGCAAAAAGAACACTCCAGTGTCACAGCACTCACGTGAAAAGAAAAATAAAAAATATCACTGCAAACTATTTATAAAGTGCATAATTACCCTAAAACAAACAAATTCCAGCTTGTAATCGACCACATATGTACAGAGTGTCCTTAGATTGGTATCCTCTTGTTCCTTAGGACCTCATAAACAGACCAGGAATCAGTATGTGAATTATAATCATATATAAAATTTATTGTAGCCACTTACATATAAAAACGATAAGATCAGCAAAACAGCATCCAACTCCTCATGCCCAGTATACGATCCCCTTTCCGTGTATAGAGGGTCTCCCGATCACCAGGTAATTCCCCCTTGCCACTCCTATCCAGCACTATCACTTTGTAGCTCTAGGGGACACCTGAAGTGCACCGTTACTCTCCAGACCTCCGACACACAGGGATTCCAGAATCCAAAATGGCTGCCACGGCACTTCCGAGAACGTCAATACGTCACGTGCCCTGGACGCGTTTCGTCACTTCCGGACTTTGTCAACATAGTTCTCATAGTGCTCTGGTAATAATTTTTTTTTTTATAGTATAATTTTTGCCTTTAAGATGTCTATAGTCCATAGAAAGTTACATCGTAGCAAAAAAGTTAAATTTAGCAAAAATATCTCATATATGAAGTCCATGGTCCAAAATGCAATGATAAGCAACTATGTACTGTATAGTAGCAAATTAGTAATCAGCTATGTACAGGCATGTAGATGTAGCACCCCTCTAGTTAGCTAGGGGGAGCTAGATAGGTTTTCAGTCAGAGGCTGAGAAGCAGCCTGGGATGAATCAGCCTGGGATGAGTCAGCCAGGTCATCTTTAGGTCAGGGCCGAGGGCACTGCAGATCAGTTCCCTCATACCTCTCCTGCTCTAGAGACTTGGGAAGTTTCTAAAAGACAGTGGGTGGGTGTGAGGAGGGGCTGATCTGCACACTCAGGGACTATGGCCAATCCCCAAGCAAGCGGCTTGGCATGGCGCCAGGGCAGCCTTTAAGTATGACTGAGCCTGCTCAGCAGGGGGAGAGTCTCGGGTGGAAGATGGAGTGGGAAGCTGGAGTACAGGAGCCTGAGAGGGGGCCAAGGGGAGAAGGGCCTACCTACAGGGTGTAACTGAAAGGAGGATCTTTCAGTTTCAACAGTCCCCAGAGAGAGTACAGCCTGTGGAGCCAGCCCAGCAGAAGGTTTGAAGGCAGCCAGCAACCAAACAAGCTTGCAGGAGAGCCAGAGTGAGGAATCCTACACCCCCTGAGCCAGATAAGGGGAGAGGGCATTCTGGTGGGAAACCTGACTAGCCCCCATCTGCAACTGTTGATTTAAATGTGGAAGATTCTGGGTCCCCTTGCCCAGGGATTCCCTCAGGCAGCTGGATGAAAAGGGTTTTCATCTGGGGTCTGGGGTGGTACACCAGGAGGGCTGGAGAGCTCTTCAAGGAGAGATTTTGCTGTTATGGACTTATGGTACATAGTTATGGTACATAGCTGGTAAGGGGTTGTCCTCAAGTTGCAGTCATCTTGGGCATACCATACATCTCCCAACTCCATCCAAGTTCAATATCCTTTAATAAAGCTATAAAAAAAAAAAAATCAAGCTCAAGGACTGTTTATTGACTCCAGTGTGCAAGGTCTGAGGAAATTGTACATTGCCTGGCTGTGCAGGACCATAGGGGGAACCAAAACTCAGCAACTCTTAGGGGGGTAGTGC